TCTCTCTCTCTCCCACCTAGAGTCAGGGTCTGTCCTAGGTTTCTGCCTCTTAAAAGGCAGTTTTTCCTTGCTGCTGTCTCCAAGGTCTTTGTTGGCGCTATACAAATAAAATTGAATTGAATTGAAAAAAGACATTGCAAACACTTTCATTCTGACTCCTCGGTTGATTTCTTTTGAAAGACAAAGCTGTTAAATTTAAATTTTGTTTGTTTGCGCTCAGTGGTCAGAGGCTGACAACCAGTCAATAGAAAAATTGTGAAGAAAAACAAGTTGTTAACTGTTACAAAGTGATACATGGGGACCTTGACACATGTTGTTTATCAATCTGAATTACATAACACACAAATACACACAGTTTAAAGACTGAGGCATCAAATAACTTCTGAGATCAGAGAGATATCAAGAGACAAGTAGAGATGAAAAGTGCACAAAAACACAAAAAAATATACATTTTGTCATTATACAACCATGATTGCACAACAAAAATAAAGACTCATAGAACATAACAAATAATTAGGTAAGGATAATGTAAAAAAATAAAATAAATAAGGCAATATATGCAGTTAATTATATACATATGTACATACACATATACAGCCAGGAAAACAATCTGCAGTGCATCTTTTTAATTTGCATCTGGGGGAATGTAAACAGCAGCAACAAGATAGAGAGGATAATATGGTTACGATATGGTCCGAAGCAGAACTGTGAAGCTCTTTTTAGAGTTTACGAATATGCGTCACAGTGGTCACATGACCTGCAAAAAACATGACATTGATGACATTTTGTATTTCTGCAGTCCACCGGCCCTCAATACACAGCAAATCCCTTCATAACAGGAATACAGGTCTTGTTTACTGTGAACAGGTAAAGGTGTGAAATCCGGGCCGGCCTCCGGGGTGTCGCTGATCGCCACCGGCTGTGGAAACCAGGACACTTATTAAGGTTAACTATTCATCTCCTTGTCTTCTTTTGTTCTTCAGCCTCGTTCCCTTGGCTCATTTTACCTTTGTGTCTTCTGCTGTTTAGATTTTTTAGAATAAAAGCTGGAGCGGGGCATAAAGGATCCATCTCTGGTTCCAGGGACGACTCTGCTGTTGAAAAGTGCCGAGGGAGGGCGCGGTCTTCCCAAACATGCCTTTTTGTGTTGGTGGTCCGAAAACTGGCATGGTGCCTGCTGCTTTGTGTTCGGACCAGCTTCCTTCACTTCTCATGAACCGTTGTAGAAGGATTAGTCAGTTTGACTGATACAGTTTGTGATGTGCAGTCGATGTTTCTGCTTAAATGCTTTGATAATTTGTGTTTATGATCTTAAAACTTCTAAATAAATAAATATTCTGATCCAGATTAATTTACTTTCATCAAGCAAAAAGTTAGCTGGTTGCAGTATAGCTCATAAAACTTGAACAGGAGAATGAAATTAAACGATCAAGTATTTTTCTGTTGACAGTCTAATCCAGTGGTTCCCAACCGCAGGATCCCTGTCTATGAAGAAAACAAAAGTAATTAAATAAAAGAAATTGTTATTTTTAAGATGTAGATTATTATTTAACCTATATTCACTGTTTCTCATAAACAGAAAAGTTCAAACAACCAAAGAGCTAATAGAACATTGTGAAGAAAACACTGAATTTTTCAAAAAGTATGCCTATTCACTATGTACGATTATTATCTTTTAAATAAATACATAATACAAACAAGGAATTGAAGAAAAATATCAGGAAAACTCATCTCTGATCAATATTCACAGGAAATAATCTGCTCAGAATTCATCCAAATCACTTGTTTTACACAAACTTCCTGCAGTAATGTTTCCACTCTACTTAGATTATATGGTAATCATAACAATTTCATCCATATTTAATTTGGCCATCATAAAAACATCAGACATAACTATAAAAATATCGAACCAGAAACTTTGCGGTTGTATCTTGTATCGCAGCACCACCAGATGCCCTGAATAATAACCATGAGTGCTTTTAGGAGAAACTTGCCCAAATTAGAATTCAACTACACTGTTTTGTCTCCTTTTTAGTCCACCTTTAGTTTCTCAGAAGTTAAACTGTTGCTGTCTGCAGCAAGTCTTCTGTTGGCAATCAGAGCTCCTTATCGCACATCGACACCAAAAGTGACAAAGGAAAGACAGAAGCAGAGAAGAAAGGAGGAACAGGGAAAGGGAGATCGAGAGATGGAGGTCAAGAGAGGGAAGAAGAGAGGCCTCAAATCTTTAACTTCGGCAAGAAATGGGCTTTACTTAAGTAGAAGTACTTGAGTATCATAGATGATGTTTAAGTTGTGCCAAAACTGTAAACGTCATGTTTGACTGGAGATTTGGGTGATAACTACCATTTTACACTGGTTTGTTTTATGTGAATCAGTTTTAAATTTCAGCCAACAAGTGTTGTCCATTTGTTTTCTCTCATGTTTGTAATTAGTATTAATATCACATATCCAGATAATCCCATGAGGTGTTGTTATAGAATGAAGTCATTGTCCTGTTAAATGTGTTAAAAAATGAAAGTAGGCTGCTCATTGTGGAGAGCTTTCAGTGTTACATTACTGTACTGCTGAACAGTTTCTTGTGCCAACTGAGCTGTTTGTATGGAGGCTGAAACACCATCTGATAAATATGTATGAAGTAAAAGAGTCTCAAATGTAGATGATGAAAAGTAGAACGTCTTTAAAGTAAAGAACCAGAAGATCTAAACTTGACTGAAATCCCATCTGAACACTGACAGAATGTCATTAATCTGGTTACAGGATACGTGTCTGGTGATATTCTGTATTTGTCTTGTCATAAATCTCATGTTCAGACTCAAACCAACAATGATTGTATCTACTAACTAGTGTTGTGTGTCTATCAAAGCCTGATCTGTTGATGCGTTCCATTTGAACTGGGAAGTCAGAAATTTCAACTGGAACGCCTCGTAATGTCGGAAGAACCTTTCACCAACCCCGACCTCAAAATCCAAGATGGCTGCATCAACTACTTCAAAAATGTAGTAATATTTTATTTATTAGCACTTCTGTCTTGTTTCTCATTAAAACAGATCCGTCCACCTTCTGTCTATGGATGTGTTTTTATGAGCAAAATACAGCATACATACACAGACAGCAACAGTAAAAAAAACAAATGACAGTAAACGTATCATTTTAATAATATAAATCCATCTAAACTTTACTGGTTCCACACACGTTTGAGGGGATATCATTTTATTATATTTTCTGACACCCCTAGTTCCAATACCATGAACAAACACAATGTCGCGTACAGTTCCTTACAAACTTCACCAATTATTTTTCTATTGTTTCCAGCAAAATGTTGAGCCATACGTCACCAAACTCACTCCTTTGTCTATAGTTGTGAGGATGCAGACCAACCCACATTGACCCTCCAAACACAGCAATTTCATTCTCACTGGAACAAGTTGCATTTGATTTTTATTAAATTCTACACACAAAAAAATCGGTTTTTGCAATGTTAACTTCCTAAACTTTTTTAGAAAAGCTGCAGAGAAATTAGACGTTTTAGGCCGCAACAATCCCCCTAAAAAAAAAACCTGTGAAATCCTGGAGTGACTGATTTGAACTCAACCCCACATTCACTGTCCTGCTGCTCCTAATACTCACTAGAGCACCAAATGTGAATTCATCCACTACTGAAAATAGTCCCCAGCAAATGCACAATTTCCTCTTTTTTGTAAATGTAAATGTGAACCTTTTTCAACATAAAACTATTTATAAACTGTGTATTTAAAGATTTGCGTCTCCAGGAGGACAAATGGGGCTTGGAGCGGAGAGCCACAGACAGGAAGTACAACACATTGTTGGTTTGGGTTGGGATTTGGTGGCGTTTGCTTTTATTGTCTTCGATGGTTTAATTGCTGCTTTTCTCCCTGACGAGAACAAAATTGCAGGAAAACAATACTGGAAATCTTCTGAAAGAGGAAAATTAGATTTTGGAGAAAGATCTTTGACTTTTCAATGGAAACTGGTCCAATTAAACAAATTCCACCAGGCAGACAGGATGGTGAACGAAGAAGAACTGTGAAAATATTAATATATATAATATAAATAAGTAGGAATGTTTGTTTCTGAAAAGATGAGAGAAAATGGAGGGTGGAGAACGATGGAGAGATAAACAAGAGGCGTCTCTTCTTTCTGCTCTGAATATATTTTTGCTGTTTCACGGTGAAAGAGGTCACCTCGCAGGCAGAAGGCCCAGTTCTTCTTCAGCAGGACAATGAAGACGAGCCTCCCCTCCCTCCCCGGCGTCCTCAGCCTTTGTCTGTGGGACCGGCAGGTGAGACGGAGCCTGAAAGATGTTTTGTTTTGGGCGAGGTTTATAAATTGATCAAAGCCTCCTCGATCCTGCTCATCTGTCCACAAATTCTTCTCCAGACGATGCTACACAAGTCAGACGGAGCGGTGAGTCCCAAAACACCTCAGAGGATTTAATCTTTTTAAGTCTGGGAGCAGTTCAGGTTGGCTGGAATATAATTTAGTTTTTTTTTTAATTTTTTTTATCCAGGTTTAACTGGTTGTTCAAGTAAAAGAGCAGAAAACAAATGCAAAGTTTTTAAAAATTCTCAAAAAGTTAGACAAAATTCTTATTTCTCATTCATCATTAAATTTTTTTTCTTGCGCTTATCAACGACTAAAGTAGGTACAGTTTGGATCATTAATAGATATATTTAATACATTAGTGGAAGATGTGCTGGCTGTCTCTTGTTCAACCAGGCTGTGTATTTTTTACAGAACAGTTATATACCCAGAAACTTGTTGATATTAAAGTTTTTCATAATGTTTAACAGTAGGTGAGTTTTTCCTTCCGACCAGAAATGTGGACTTTTCTTCTGTATGTCTGTATCTCTACTCGAGCCTTGCAAACTATTGGCTAGTTGGTTTGTTTACAACGCAGAGGGCTGACAGTAAACAAGCAAACTGTGTTAAAAACCTGCATTCTTTTGGACTATACAGCACTTTCATTTTTTTTTATGGATGTTGAGACTTCACAAAAAACTAAGGAGATGCAACTTACAACTGTATGTAACTGGGTTAGAGTGACTCGCAAACAGGGATAAAGAGACACTGCCTCTTTAACTTTTCACTCATTTGAGCCTTCACGTATGGCTGTATATAAGTGTTGCTGTGAGTCCATCTTAAGATGCTGAATAAACCTTACAGAAAGACAAAAGAGCATACTTTGATTGCTTTATTTAACAAATTGCCAGCATAGACCTAATCACAAATATCCAAACGGAATATACTGTTTAATTGTGTGGATGTAAATGTGATCATTGTGGGAGCAGCTTTAGATGCACTGTCCATTTAGAGAAGTTCATGACTTTGTGTATATGATGAAAATGTAGACCCCATTATCACTTAAAACTTCCTTAAGTAACTTTTCTAAAAATAACTGCCATATTTGCTGATTATTTACTTATTTTTATATCCTGACAGTAGTGCATGAAAAAAATCAGGTTCCTCCTAGTCATTAGTCATTAGCAAGAGTCCACCGGGCCTGAACGAAAACAACCAATCAGAGCCAAGAAAGATAGTTGATTGATCGACGCTGTCAGTCCCGTGCAATGAGACTCAACAACTATCTTCTTCAGACACTTGCAGTCTGTGTCAGAAACATTTCTAGGGAGGAGTGTCTGTTTGGCCATAGAAAGCTTTTTTTTTTAATTATTCTTGAATTCCTGAACAAACTGACTTGCTCTGATTTGTATCTTACCTTTCCTTTGGGCTCCCATCATCCTTATCTTCCTCCAGATGTTGTCGAGGCTGCTGGGTCTCCTCATTCTCTCCTCCCTTTGCTCAGCCATGCTTGTACCCAATGAAGACTCCAACGAAGAGGACGGCTCCACTGCGGACCCCAACACCTACCACTTGCAAGCCTCAGGCAAGGGGGCGTTGCCTGAGAAGTCTGAGTTGCCTAAGACATCGGAGCCATCTCAGTCATCTAAGAATACAAACAACTGGTCACCTGCCTCCCGCAGCGGCCTCCTGCCTATGCCCCCCACAGGACTGCCATGGCCGCCTGGTGGCAACATGACTGATGGCTCCAACAACATGCGGATGCTCGGGGCCACCGACCCGGACATGCCCCCCATGCCCGATACGACAATCTGTGACATGCTGTTGAACGCACCAGTACCACCACCTATCGACCAGATTCCTTTTTTTTGCCTCTGTTCGCACTGTAAGGGCACCGTAGGGCCCAAAGGAGACCGTGGAGACCGGGGCCTTCCAGGTGTGTAGATTGCTTTAAATTACCTTTTTGAGCTTCGGTAAAAACAGTGCTGCATTTGAAGATTGACTGTAATCTTTGATCAGGTACACCTGGGAGTCCTGGGATGAGAGGAATGACAGGCTTCAAAGGTCGTCAAGGATTCACTGGCCCTCAGGGGATGAAGGGTGAGACCTCTGTCACTGCACTGATCTTGAGTGTTCAATATCACAAATATCTTACAATTGACAGGAAACAAGATTACAATGACATGATTTGGATATCAGTTTCATCTCTGAACATCCAACAGAGAAAGGTCCTGGAATATCTTAGCAGGAGAAACTACTATTCTAGATCCATCAAAAAGAAAAAAGAACCCACTGTCCAACAACTCTGAAGTTTCTTCTTCTGGATGAGGAAGACTATGTGGAACTTCTTTTTAAAAGCAACTTGGTGTAGTAACATTATGTGATTATACAGTCCTTTCAGGATTTCACAGGCCTTTTTTAGGATTTATTGGGATTGAAATACCTGACTTCACAGCAGGTTTTTTAAAAAAAACTGTGAATTTTTTAAGCAAAACTAGTTTAATTGATTTTTTGTATAAATCATTAAAAACCAAAGATGACTTGTTCCAGTGAGAATAGAAAATCTGTTACAAGTAACTTTATCAAAAAGTCTCTGGTTCTGAGGTTAAATGTTAAACATTTGGTGACACATCGCTCCCCATTTTGCAAAGGAAACTACAGTGATTGGTCAAATTTGCGGAAAAGTTGCACTGATTGGACAAAATTGCATGCAGAATTAATCAGGATTGGTTGAATTTCTGTTAATTGTTGCAATCAAAACTCCCAATTGCAAATGTATTGCAATGCAAATGTCTGCTTCAAAACAGGCCAACGGATCTGACCATGCTTTTCACTCAAAACATGAATTTACTGCATCTGCATCAAAAGTCTCCTGATCCTGATTTTCATCTTTCTTATGATAATTTCTATCTTTGTCTGCAGGTCAAAAGGGAGACCTGGGGGAGAAAGGGCAGCCTGGAACTGTCGGTTTCACTGGGATGAAGGGCGAGCTAGGCTTCAAAGGTCTGCTGAGATGACTATATCTAAAAGATCACTCTATATAAAGGGTCATTATTGTTATTTGGATGCCATTTTGTGATCTGACCTTGCTGTGGTTGAGGTTTGGCACACAAATCACATTGTGGAAAGATTATGAATCATGGTAATATATTAAGATTGAAGAATATTTAAATTGAGGGTAGACTGATTTCTATTAAACCAGTCTGGTTTCAGGTTTGTTATCAACTACATGGCTTGTCTATTAGGAGAGATTAGCACAGGCAGAGTTTCAGTCCAATCTTAAATTGTAATATAGTTTTAAATGGTTTGTCTGTTAACAGAAGAAAATAGATAACAAAGGGTATTAATGTGGACATCATAATTCCTAATTTAATTAACAGTCTAACAAAGTAAACTTTCAACAGTTATTTTGTAAACCTACCAGTGACACTACAAAATAATATTGCTGAAACCTAATCATTGCAACAAATAATAATAAACTACTAAAGCTGCTATAAATGCATTTAAACCACAGCTAACTAACATATCATATACACAGTTCAAACATTTGAAGGGATGAATGATCCATGTGAGGCCAGCCAGCTTCTTTGTTCTCAGACAGGCCTTAATGTCTTTTGCACAAAACTCTTACTCAGCAAAAATGTGAATCTATCAAAGTGATACTTTAAACGGTGTTTAGTTTGTTTAGTTTGTTGGACGTCCTGCCACATGTTTGGTACCCAACCCTAGTCAGAGGACTTTAAATGAAACTACAATAATAACTACTTGGTTAAGTTTAGGGAACAACTTTGATCATGGTTGAAAGAATGTTGATTATTGGTAAGAACAGGAACCAAGCGATGGTCTCCTGTATCAGTCTAAGACCAATGTTCGGTTCACCCAGCCATGCCTTCCAAAACATCATTGCACAAATAAAACTAACACCACAAGTTAGGTTTGTGCACAAAATTACTTTAGGCTTAGTCTTACTGTTGGGAATGGGAACCAAATGGTGATCATGGTCAGTCTCACATTTTGTTGACCCATCCATTTGCTCAGGTCTCCTGCCTTTGTGAACTTTGTGGCTGTTTGACTTGACACAATGTCTTTCTTTAGGTCATAATTCCTACGACCACAACAGGGCTTTGTTCCTTTAATGTAAACATATTTTATGTTGTTTAGGAGTATTTGCTGAAATGACTGCTTGTGTTGCTCACAACAATATTCTACAGAAACAAATGCAGTCTGGGCAGATGCCTCATGAATTGCATCCTCCAGAATTCTCCACACAGAAAATAAAGAACAATGAACAATGGATCCTTGCAAAGAAAGTAATATTTGCAAGTTTGGTAATTTAGATAAGAGACGTTTAGACGTTAAGATGCTTCACCATTTGACTTCATGTCAAAATGTAATACACATATTCTTGATGTGTGTTTTCCAGGGGAAAAGGGGGACAGAGGACTGGTAGGCCCTGAAGGTCCACAGGGCCCCCAGGGAGAAACTGGCACTTGCCCTGCCTCCTGCGATAGTGTACAGGGTCCACCGGGTCTACAAGGCACCCCAGGACCAGCCGGAGCCCGGGGCCTGCCTGGTGTCGAGGGACCTATGGGACCCAAAGGTTTTAAGGGTGATAAGGGTGACCTGGGTAGAACAGGTGACCCGGGACTGAATGGCCAGAAGGGTGATCAAGGTGAGCAGGGGGTGTGTGAGTGCACAGATGGGGCAGACGGCAATGATGGGCAACCAGGGGAAAAGGGTGCTAAGGGGAATAAAGGTGACACTGGTCCCATGGGCATACAGGGCCCCATGGGGCTGAAAGGCAATATGGGTAACATGGGTCTCACAGGTCAGCCTGGGCCCTGCACCCCAGCAATCCAATCGGCATTCTCTGCATGTATCAACCAGTCATTTCCGATGGAAAACATGCCTGTTCCTTTCCTACACATCTTTACCAACCAACAGGGGCACTTCAACCCATCCAGTGGCATTTACACAGCCCCTGTCAATGGCACATACGTGTTCTCCTTCCACCTGGCGGTTGCCGATAAGACTCTTAAGGTCGGCCTGTTCCGCAACTTCTACCCTGTAGTCAAATCAACAGAAGCAAGTGACCAGTCCACCACCAGCCAGACTGTAGTCCTCCACCTCAACGTGGGAGATAAGGTGTGGCTGCAGGTGAAGGACCACACCACCAACGGCATGTACACCGACAAGGAGAGCAGCAGCACGTTCTCTGGGTATCTTCTGTACCCTGACTCCTGCGAACTGCCTGTGGGCCGCACCTTCACGCCGTGGGCCCCAGGTGATGATGATGATTCAGTCTATAGCTGGAATGGTCCTATTCATACCACCACCCCTTCACCATAGTAGGCTCCAGTCAGTCAGTCAGTCAGTCAGTCAGTTGCACAATTAGAGACAAAGCATCCACACACACTCAATCAAACACTCAGTGTATTTATAACTGCAAGTTTTAAAGGAGGGGTATTCTACAAAAGCAGAATTGTCCATTTCTGACAAGTTACTGTAGCACTTTGAAAGTCATGTACCTTCCAGACGATCGGAGATCTCACCACTTACCAGTCGTCTGAGGATTTATAAATGCAAAATAGTTTCTTGGACAGTGGCAGAAATGTACACCCTTTGTACCCTTTGTAACAAAACATTAAAAATGTTATATGGTACAAGCACATGACTTTCACATGTCACCACCATAAAGACTTTGGATTGGTTCTGCAGTGAGGTTTTTTTTTTTTAAAAACTCCACACTGTTGGTACCTAATAAAATAGTTTTTCAAACCAGCCAATCAGAACTGCCCCTAAACATGATGTCTTACAGGAAGCAAGTGATGATATTCAAAATTCAGTCTGAATCTAGGTTATTCAAAAGCAGCAGAACTAATAGTAAGAGTGCTGTTATTACACTCCTGATCACCTTTTTTAATGGCCTTGCTAGTGGCCAATGACTTGAGATTGACATCTGTAGTTTTGGGAGAAATAACTTGACAACTGTTGGATGGATTCTCCTCAGGATGAATTGTAATGACTTTTAATTTGGCGCCATCATCAGGACATAATTGAATTTTTTAATATTTGAATTTTAATTGTTTTGTGTTTTCTATATCAGCGTTCTGGAAACCACAACAAAAACAACAAAAACATGGAGAAACTATAAGAAAATACCCCCCCTTTAAATGTGGAGATAAATTCACTCTTATGATTCAACTCACTAAATATGAAAATGCACGTAGGCTCACATGTGCCAGCTTTACAAATGCATCTGATCATGCACTTGATACACTTAATAAATGGCTAGATCACCAAGCTGGCTGCAGAGTTCTGTAGAGGTTCAGATTTGCTCTAATGTAAAATTTTATAAAAGCACTTTGCATCCTCAGAGTACATTTATTTTTAATCCTTGATATCAGTTTGCTGCAGTTTAGTTTTAGAGCCTTTATCATTTTGCCTTTTCAAATGTTAATGATGCATAAAGTTTGATGTGTTAGAAAAATATGAATTATATTAAAATTGCAACCAAAGCGGCTGCTTCGATCACAAGTCCTCTGACATTTTATTTTAGTCATTTTATTTCAGACAAAAGCAACAGTGTCTGAAGTAGAGTTTGACAGACTTCAGAGAACCTACATCCTTCTTACTGGGTATGTACAGTAACAGATAAGAAACATCTCATACACTGTTTCCTGCGTGGCAATATATAAATATTCAGTTTCACATCCTGGTGTAGTAAATCTTTAAGTTTGCTCTGCTACAACAGCTTTACAGTCCAAAGAGAGATTCCAAAATAAAAATACAGCCCTTTGAAATATTTACAGTGCAGTTTTGTCCCCAAATTAAATTTTAAACATCAAGGTCTAGATAAGTAATTCTTACTTAAAGTAATCCATAAAAGTACTTTTTCTCTGTACCTGCTTTCAATCAGCAGAGATTGTAATAGGAATTTTAGAATATTTTTTGATAGAAAATGTAAATATGTGAATTGGCTCCGTATGTCACAGTAAAATCAGAAGGAATTCATTGAGACAGGTTTGATCAGTTGAAGAGCTTTAAATGGTGAAGGAGCAGGTGAGCAGGTAAGAAAGGATGCTGTGAAGGAAACAAAATAGTGGAGAGACCAAGAGGGCTCAGGATAAGGCATTGAGCCAGGTCCAGGTAGGGTCCTGTTTAGAAAGCCATGGGTGTGATGTGTTAATGTGTTGTTAACAAGGTTAGGAAATTGAAAAAGTCTCCACAAAACGAATTAAAAGTTAAAAACAGCCATCCAGTTTAAATTTAAGGACAGAAATCCTGTTTTGTGAAATAAACATGAATAAAATAAATTCACTTGTTTCTAATAAAAATGAACTTTTTAGATACCATAGCCAATAATAAACATGACTTTTTATTTTATTTATGTTTTTTTATTTAAATTTTGAAGAAAATTTTGTCATGAACTAACATAATTTGTTAAGATGTTTATGGTGGGTTTGTTTTGCATCGTAAGACAAACTTAAGCATTAGATCAATAAAAATGGCTGAATTTGCGTGACAGCCAATCAGTTATAAAACAGGTGATTTCCATACAAGTGAGTGAATGATGCAGACGGTGATCAGACTCTGGCATAAGGCGGATTAAACTGAGGTGTTCAAGTAGTTGTGTGTCACATCTGTTTGTGCCTCAGTTTTCTGTGTCTGTGCATTGTGATTTTTGTCTGAAATTAAAAATCCTCTCCTGAGGTTTGTGTTCAACTGTTTCTTCAGCAGTTTTATTTTTTGCATAATTCATTCTATCAATACTATCAGATCAGCGTATTCTGGGCCCCAGGCAGCTTCTAAGGTCCCAATATTCTCAAATTCAGAGCCAAAAAGAAAAAAAATGAAAAGTCTCAATATATTCTATATTTTTGTGCAGAGCCAAACAATGAATTGATCCTAACAAGTGTTGTGTGTGTATCAAAGCCTGGTATATCTATTTACTCTGTGCCATAGAGCTCCATTGTTGCCCAAAAACTATTAAAAATGCATCAATGAGCTACACTTTTGCACTGGATGACATGTTCCTTCATTACAATGAACACACACACCATCCTGCTGCCCTGGACACTCACTACAGAACCAAATATGGATACATTTTTAGTTTCCAATATTTTCTCCTGTTTGTCTGATAAAAACTACAGTGAACAGCTGTTTTAGGAAATTACTGATACTTTTTAAACACAAGACTATATTTGTGTTTTCAGCAGGAACCAATGGGCTTTGACAGAGCCACAGACAGAAAGTTGAAAGTATTGAGTGACAGACTAGATAGGTCGGATATATCCTTTATAATATATCTATATTTTAAAAAATGAAAAAAATGCTGAAGACCATCTGGAGGTTTGTCACGGCATTAGAATATATATATAATACAAGAATGGATCAGTCAGCTTTTTATTGTCACAAAGTTGAAACTGCACAGTCACACAGAGCATCACATCTCCTTGAAATGCCAAATACATTTTATCTTTCTACATAAATGTTTCTACAGTAAATCTGAGCGAAACAACAGACGATTCAGTCAGATCATTTCCTCCAGAGTCGAGCGAGCAGCAGCACATTATTTATGAGAGCTTGCAATTTTGTCTGATCTTCTCAACATTCAAATGCAATTAAAGTTCACTAAATCGTCTTCTTTGCTTTCTCCCACATCACACAATCCACTTGTTGACAATGTAGACAATGAACAGATGAGAAGTTCAGATTTACAAATGCAGGAAGCAATTAGCTGTCTAACTTAAAAAGCACAAAAATGATTCTTACAAATTACTTCACAGGGATTCATCGTGTATTGAAGGACCATATCAGAGGTTTTGCATGTTAGCTACAATAGTCTCAATATTATTACCTAAGACTCACAGACACTGCAGTCTGCGAGTACAGTCCTGAAACAGTCCTCTAATTTTCCACAAATTTGATCAATAATTTTAATTTCCTTTCTGAACAACAAAAACTATTTTCGCAATTTTCATTTTCTCTTGCAACAAAAAAACGCCTACAACATTGTGAGACTGGGGGCATCCCCGAGACTGACAAAGCCAGGTGACAGGAACTCCAGTACCGAGGTGGTTTTCTTGTCGGGTTTTGCTCCTGTCATTCCGTAGGTGCAAATAAATAGAAAAAAATCTTTAACAAAAAGATAAACTGATGGTATATGAAGGCTGTTTCTGTTGCAAAAACATGCAAAATCACAGACATGGTCCTTTAATGTCTTTAAAGTCTCAACTTTTTCTAGCACAAACAAGCTGTCTTTGTTCCAGCTGCTGTCACTCTGGCCAACTCTCTCCTCTATTTCTCTTTGGGCGCCATGTCGTCACCACCCGACACGTTTCCATCCTCGTCCTCGTCATCGGCCATGCCCTTCAGGTAGGAGCGCTTGAACTCCTGGAACTCCATCTCTTCCTCTAACTCACTACAGACACACAACAGCAGTGTTGGAGAAAGAGCAGAGGCACAATAATGGGATTTCTATCACCGGTAGGGGGGTAGAGAGGGTCGTTTAAAGCTGGGAACAGATGTTAAAGGTTATATATATAAAACTTAAAACACAATATAGCAGCAAAGAGCTGTTATCCATGTAGAGATATAAACAGTGTCACATGGTGTCTCACTCACACCATCCCTTTCTGGCTGTGTTGTATCGCAGCCTCTCTGTGGTTTGTTAGTGATGGTTGGAAAGACTAACAGAGACAGTATTGGTGATGATCTGAGATGCTGGTGCTCTAGTGCGACATCCACTGGCTAGTCAGTTTTGTATATGTAACCTTTAAGTTAACCCCACTATTTTATAATTAGCTTTTTGTTTTTGGATACTTGGAAGCTTGGTGCTATGAATCTTGAACAGAACTTGTTCAGAGCTAATTTGATTGGAATTGTGTCCCTGTACATCTACAGCTAACTCTAAGTCTTCTGAACCACGTTGACATGTGTGGGTGTAAACTTATTATATATTATCCTTTAAACTGTCTACCCAGTGAAACTTACAAAAAATAAAAAGGAAAACATTTTCATAAAGAAGCAGAAAAGCAAAAAAACTAAACAATGAGAGAAAATGCTGATGAAGACAGGGTTATAAACAGGAGCAACAACGGACTAAAGAAGAGCTGATGAAGTGATAAAAGATCCTGGAACAAAAACTTGTCCCTGGATGAACTAAACAAAAGCTGGACTGAGTCATTCCTACTCATTCATTCAGGACTAATGCTTCCTCTAAGAATCATTTTATTTACTTTTTGCTTGGAAAACCACCTTACCTCTCCTTCACTGTTGGCAGCAATAAAGAAAAACAGGAAAAACCAGAAGGTTTAGGTTCAGTTTGACTCTCTTCCACCTACTGTTTATGGATAAATGCATTCGTTATGTAGTTATTGTAGAGTAAATAATGTTGTTCATTAGATGTAATCTCTTACCTGCATCAGGTTTAGGATGCATCAGTTTGAAGGGAACTTCCAGGCCGACTTCACTGCAACACAAACCGAAAACATTTCTCACTGCAACTGCATTAATGAATGAATGCACAATACACCAGAGGTGGGAGTCTTAAGTTATTCTCAAGTCTTTACACCCAAGTCCCAAATCCTAAACTTTGACTTAGAAGATTTTCCTTCCGACATCCTCGGGCTGCTCAACTCTCTGTGATTTACACAGTTTGCTGATGGACAGATAGCTTTAGCTAAAGAAGCCAACTGCTAATTAACTGCTGGACTGATCATTTTGGTACTCAAATTTTTCCACAAAAGTAATGAGACATACACATACTGAGTAACTATAAATGAAAAGAAGTAAACATTAACCTACCTTGATCCCATCATCCTGTGAGCATGGCAGAGACAAAAAGATGAAGATTGGAACAATTGGAGAAATATATATATGTTGAATATTTTAATTAATCTGCACACAAATCTAACTTGCATTAACACATGACACAAATAGAAATGTCATAAGTTTTCTGCAAACAACTCCTCAGAATCACATGACGATAGAAACAAGTGTTCATTGAGTGTGGAGAACCAGAACAGTAAAGCTGTGGACCGACAAATAAGCTGAAAATCACTATAAAGTTCCGTAAAGCCGAGAGGAGCTGCAGATTCAGTGGATGATTCCCTGTCCATTAACTGCATACTGTCAGTGGTTATCACACACACACACACACACACACAGGAGCGACTGACCCTCCAACGATGAGCTTCACCATGACTCTGTATGAAACCATGATCCCCATGACTTCCTTCAGCACACCTTCCTTGACACTGAAAGAGAAGAAAACGATTAATGTAAATGAGCCGATCTACAAGAACACATTGATCTGACTGAGCAGGAACTCTATCAGGTCCATCTTGTGTCTGATTGTCTGCTCACATGCTTGATGATGCCAGGTTGGTGTCTTCGTGCTTCAGTTTGCCATCCAGCGCGATGCCCCGTCTCTCCCTGTTGTTGGCCAGTACAGGCAGCAGCTTGTAGACTTTCTGCAGGGTCGCTCCGGGAGCCACCGAATCCCTAAGACATGAAGACACAGATACACATTAATCAGCAGAATACAGCAACCAAAATAAACTCTCGAAGATTATCATATAGCCAACTAATGGGAGGATTGTGAGGATTTAAAACCCAACTCTGCGAGGAGAGGAAGTTGTCATTTAAAGAAGCTAAATCAGGAAGTGTAATAGAAGGAAAAAACAAACACAGATCACTTTCTTCAATTTAATATTGAAATGTTATTGTTGTTTTGTTTCATGAAGGACACACACAATCACTAAAGTAAACTAAAATCGACATATGAACCATGGAGACTTTGGTAGTTTTGTGCCCAAAGAAATCACTTTATTTACACAAATAAAAAAAAATTCTAAAACTGTTTTCAAATTCAGAATATTTGCTTTACATGGCACCATAACGGATTCATGAAAACATTAAAATCACTTGAAATATACCTAAACAAGATTGGTTGTAGCACAGAAAGATTAAACAAAGTTAATAATTGAGTCAGATTAAGTCACAAAGAAAGTTTCATCCACAGTACAAACACATTTTACATTTTAAGCAAAGAAACAGAGTCTTGTATCCTTTTTAAGGACAAGATACATTAGGAAACGACATTTGGCAGCAACACGCTCTGAAGACCCCCTGCTTCTGAATCGTTCTTGTGGGATCTGAAGACGCGTGGATCACCCAAGCTGGCGACGCAGGCGCAACGTTATAAAACCGTGCCCAGTGGAATTTCAGGGTTACTTGCATTTTAAGAAACGTCTTCGAAAACACCATGAAAACTAACAACAACAACAACAACAACAACAACAACAACAAAGTCACATGTTGATGACATAATAGAAACAGACCTGTTTATTTACTGATTAATAGACAGATGAATAACTTAAACTAAAACTAAAATCAACAGAATTAGAATTATTTTTCTAATAAAACAGCAGAAGCTTGTATTGGTGATATATTTCCAGTTTGTTCCATTTACTTACTTTCTTTAAGTTGACTTTATATCATTACACAAATGTAAGCGCTGCTGTGCTATAATGCTTAATTATCTTAATCATCCCCCAAAGTTCAAAAATGTGATGTTGGTCACATTAAGTAGACTATAGTTAGCAACTTAATTATAGTAGTATCAATTAGATTAATTGATCTATAGAAAATTAAAACCATTTCGATAAATAAGTGCAAGTTGTTTTTATGTTACGTCAGCTGTTTTGACAGATAATGTAATAATTTGCTTTTGGGGAACTGAAGGAACTGAGTAAATTCAACTTAAGTGGTAACATTAGTATAAAAAAGTCTTACTTTATTCAGATACATTTAAATAAGTTTGGAGAAATGTTGCATATGGCTGTGATACTAGCTTCATGTTAAATAACTGAATTTAATTAGTAATTTTTTTACCCAAAGTTACCTTAACAAATACTTGAGTTACTTACTTGAATATTTTTCATGTGGGTTTAAGGAAAATGGTTTCAATTGCTCGGTTGCACTCACGTGATTGTGATCAAATTCAGATGGAGGGAAGTCTGTGCTGTGAGCAACAGTCTGTGCACCCAAGACCTACCACTTTACACCGATTGTTCCAGTTCCACAATATATATTAGGCCCTCAGAGTTTACATGATCAAATTTCATAAGGAGTACCAACAGGGCGTCATCATCAGTGAGTTGTTTGACAGTGACCGGAGTCCTTCACTGGTAAAATAATCAGTAGGAGTTCATTCCACGTGCTGATGTATGGAAACAGCCTCTCAGTGAAAGTGTGTGTAAAGGTGTGTATGTGTGTGTTAGTA